AGCTAGCTGGGGGAGCAGCGGGAGTCCTTTGTACAGGTCGGTAGACCTTGCGAGGAAGAGCCTTCACATTAGTCTTTTTTGGTAGCTTGTAAGTCTTTTCCATTCAGCACAGGGGTGTGGGTGTCCTTTTTCAAATAACTAGATTTTCTTACCTTTGACGGTTTGGAAGCCATCATTTTCAGTCGCAGGCACATTTCTCTTAATTACATTTTCATCATTAGTTGTCACAGCAACATTATTCACTTGAGATTTAACATGAGAGCACACAAAATCAGAATGACCAAAAATCAAGCAGTAAGAGCACATAGGGGGTTTCCATTCATATTCCACACGAAGGGAGTGCACAGACATCTCAAGAGAATCAGGGTTCGGGATACGAACCTTAACAACATCAATCCAGTTTTTCCTAACCGGAACTTCAAGCAGGACCCTAGCAAAAGTAGATTTTCCAGCAACATATTTGCACATATTAGCGGTCCAAGAGTTCATAGCTAGAGGTTTACCAATTTTGCTAGCGATATAGCTTAGACCCTCATCATTCCAAATATTATAAGGTATATCATGAATTTTAATCCAAATAGGAATACTATCATGCATGTTAGAGTTTAGATCAAGACCAGGCCACCATTTTTGGAGAAAAATAGGAACATTTTTAAAAGTCCAGGGACCATTATCAATAACTTTTTGGAGGCCTTCATCATAGTTGAATTTAAATAGAAAAATAGCATGACCATTTAGAAGGACATCTTCAATACCAAATTGGGACTAAAGTTTGGAAGCATAAAAGCGCACAAAAGGGAAAGGGAGACGTTTACCAACAAAATAGCCACATAACGTACGAGCATAAGTCTCACTACTTTTTTTTAACAACATAAATAGGCATATCAATAGGAGAATCCACATCTTCATCTAAATTAGGAATAAGATGAAAATTAGCATTTATGTGTTTTTTAGAGCCATTAAGAATATTCGCAGGCAAAATAAAAGTAATTTTTTCCATCCCAAACCGAAGAAGGATTATATTTAAAAATATTATTTTTTTGGGAGTTTTCTTTAGAGATGGATTTTGAAATCTGAGCATTAGGATCAATAACAGTAGCATGCAAAGCAGGTTCAGTTGAACAGGGATTATTGAAAATAAGATTAAGAAGGGATAGGGAGGGAACGAACCTGGGTTTGGGCCAAGACTGCCCAAACTATCCTCTCTAGACTCTAGTCTAGAGTTAGAACCTTTTTCCTTTTTATAAATACTATCCATATCCTCAAAGGCAGGCCCATTCAATTCAACATACTGTCAGTGTCATTTATATTGTCAACTTTGGATTTGGAGTGAGACTTTAACTCCACCTCCATTAAGGTGCTTTGACCATAATTAGAATTTCCAATAGGTCCTTCTTGAGAATGAGAGCTATCATTAGCTAGCTCCCACTTTGAGTTTGAGGCTAGTCCCTTGGTCTTGGACAGGATAATCTTCTCGCATCGCATGTTAGCACCAGAAACATCATGGCCCAAAATAGATTGGTTCGGCATCGGCTGTTTGCACTGGACTTCACGCTCATTATTTAAAACATCTGGGCCAAGATTTGATTGCTTCACAATTGGACCCAACCCAACTGAGAGGGACTGGGCTGGATTCCAATAGCAAAAACAGCCGGACTCAGGGAAGGGAAGGTATATTAATATTATCATTGATCCTATTTCCATAACGATCGATCAACTATCTAAATCTTCATCATCTTCAGCATTCCTATTCCCGAACCAGACTATGATTTATCCCTCAAATACTTCAAACGCCTTCTTCCATTTTCTTTCTTACAACCAATCCACCTTTCAAGATATATATATTTTCATCAAAATTCTATTTTTTATGAATCCAAATCAAACCTACCATTTATTCCTTTGATTTCGACTTCTTCTGTTATCTGCTTTCTGGGTTTTCTACAATTCCACATTTATTCCTCAATCATTGATCATTCAATTTATTAAACAAAATCTTGAGTGTTGGTTCATGATCATCGTTGCTTTCTCCTCTAATTGGTTTCATCATTTATACCCACCCACATTCCTGATTTATAAGAAACAATTGATGGGATGGTCTCATTCATAGCATTTGTTCTTCTACTTTTCCCTTTGGCAGCATCAATCGTTTCAGATAGCCACACAGATGCTCAACAACTGCCACTTGCTAATCTAACCAATTCGGAGGGGATGATGGGTCAGGATCCTGATGTTAAGACAAGTCTAGTAGATTGCAACAATATTCATATTCCAGTTTCTGTACAAGATACAAGACATATTCAAAGATGGAATGCTGCTCCTCCTATACGACGCAGGTTGGCTCAAGTGAACGCCCCTCATTCTGAGGCTAACTATAACAATAACAAAGACGAAGAAGAAGAAGAAGAAGAAGAAGAAGAACAACAACAACAACAAGAACAACATGGTGGTTCTTCTTCTTTGGAGGAAGATATAGAACCCATTCCATTTACTGTTTCTAAAGCGGACACGGGTGGGGGTGGAATTGACAATACAACAATTATTATTGTTGTTGTTTCTACTTCAACCGTCACCTTTCTTCTTGCTACCCTGCTCTTTTGTTGGTATACTAGGACTTATGGTGGGGGACAAAATGATGAGAAGCCTCTTCTCAGCTTAAGTAGGAGTGAGTGCTCCAATTCTTTCTTTCATCATTCAGCCTTGTTTTTCATTTTGGTTGTTCTAATGTGGATTTCATGTTTCAGGTGCTTCACAAAAATCTTCATACTCTATCAAAGATTCTGTTGATCAATCATTTCCGGACCTACAGAATACAGATTCTTCTGTAAATTCAAGTGTATCATTAGCCTTTGCGTCAGAGCTGCCCCCAGAAAGTTTGAGTGCTTCTAGAATACCTCCTCTGAAGCCACCACCTGGAAGAGCTGAATCGACATTAAAGCCTCCACCTGGAAGGACAGATCTGTCTGTACACCCTCCATCTGCCAATACTGCTTCAGCTCCTCCTCGATCGCCTGCTGCAGTTCCATCCCCGTCCCCAACTCCAGCTCCGGCTGCAGCTCCTTCCCCTCCTCCTCTACGAGCTCCTTCAGCTAGACGTCCACCGCCGCCGCCTCCACCATCTGGAGGAGCACCTCCACCGCCTCCTCCCCTGAAGGAAGGTCCACGCCCACCACCTCCTCCAAGTGGTGGTAGAGCTCCACCTCGGCCACCTGGTGGAGGCCTTAAAACTCCCCGCCATGCATTTGGACCAGGTGATCCCGATGCAGATGATTCTAACAAAGCTAAGCTAAAGCCGTTCTTCTGGGATAAGGTTATGGCAACCCCTGATCAAGCAATGGTTTGGCATCAGATTAGAGCAGGCTCATTCCAGTAAGTTGTATTTCACAAAAATTTCTAATCGGTCAAGCTTCCTAAACATAATGTGTTTCTTAACGAACAGGTTCAATGAAGAGATGATTGAAAATTTATTTGGCTATAATGCTGCCGATAAAAACAAAACCAACAATAAGAAGAGTTCAGCAGCACAAGATCCCTCTTCGCATTTTGTTCAAATTATTGATTCCAAGAAAGCCCAAAATTTGTCTATTCTTCTAAAAGCACTGAATGTGACGACAAATGAAGTTTGTGATGCGCTTAAAGAAGGTAATTCTTTCGAATCATTATTAACTCCAACTTCATCTCCGCTGGTTCTTTAAAGAAATATACACATAAACTCAAAAGCTAATGAAAAGGTTTGGCTCATTTTTTCATTCAAGTTCTTATGGCAAGGCTTGCAATATGTTGGCAAAAAGCAAACGCTTTATATGCTTAGACAGCTTAAGTATAATAGTATACAGTCTCGTAACACATTAAGCATCAATGCTCCAGTTCTCCATATATCTACAAGTTCTTGGTTTTCTACTTCTTTCTTTCTCAACATGTACTTGTGTTCTCTGCTAGTTATTTCTTATTCAGTTTTCCTCTATATTCATAGGCTTGTTCATGTGATTGTGGATATATCATCGAAATAGAGTTTGATCAACTTGATATGAACTTGACTACTTTCATGATGATGCTTCTTTGTTAAGCTAGTTTGTCAAGACCAAACCAAACAAAAGACCTTACCTCTGTCTCAAGAGACAAAGAGGTTGTTTTCCAAGAAAACTCACAGTTTGCAAAGAGGGTAAGCAAAGCAAGTAGAAAAGAAGGTTCTTGTTTTGTTGGAAGACAGGATTATTTGGGAATGTAAAGATCTTACTTAGCTAAATATCACACCAAAAAAACCCTATCCCTATCAAAAGATACCGCAAATCTATCTAAAAACTCTCAACCCTCCATCCATTAGCAGTCCTACGAGCAATCAACTACCCTTATACACCACCTCCAAGAACTCTTATATGAGGTGATGCCCATCTTCCACATCCAAATTTTAGTTATATTTTGTTTAATATGTGTGTCCGATAAATATATGTCTGCTGCATCCAAATTGTAGTATTTTTGGAAATGCGAATCTGCACTCCCTTTTCCCTGCTTCCCAGATTCCAAGCGAAAAACTGTTGGACAGCAATGAAGTATCAACTACACTTTAAAAAGTCACGTTGTTTATATATCCCTAAAAGGTTTGTTGAGACATTTAGCTTATGACCATGTTCCTGAACTCAAAAAGCATTCTCATGTGTTGTTATTTTTGTTTCCTAAAAACAGTTTGATTTAATGTAATTAGGAAATGAGCTCCCAGTAGAACTTATTCAAACATTGCTGAAGATGGCACCAACTGGAGAGGAGGAGTTGAAGCTAAGGCTGTATAACGGGGATCTTTCTCGCCTTGGAACTGCAGAGCGGTTTCTAAAAAGATTGGTTGAAATACCCTTTGCTTTTAAAAGGCTTGAGTCTTTGCTTTTTATGTGCACACTTCAAGAGGAGGAAGAAATCATTAAGGAGTCCTTCCAAACATTAGAGGTAAAACTTAGACCCCAGCAAAGACTTGAATTTCTTCTTCTTTTTTTTTGTCCAATTTTCACTCACTTGGACTGGTCAGGCTGCTTGCGTACAACTTAGGAAAAGCCGGTTGTTCCTCAAACTTTTGGAAGCTGTTCTAAAAACAGGGAATCGTATGAATGATGGAACTTTCCGTGGGAGTGCACAAGCATTTAAGCTTGACACACTCTTGAAGCTTTCAGATGTGAAAGGTGTTGATGGGAAAACGACTCTTTTGCATTTTGTAGTACTGGAGATCATTCGGGCAGAAGGTGTTAGAGCTGCGAAAACAGCCCAGGAGACCAAGAGTTCCTCCAGCTTTAAAACCGATGATTTTCTTGAAGAAGAAGCTGCTGCTAATTCTTGTCAAGGAGATACAGATGAATATTATCGCACCCTTGGTCTTCAGGTGGTGTCCAGGTTGAGTAGTGAGCTGGAGGATGTCAAGAAAGCAGCCATTCTTGATGCTGAAGGGTTGACTGGTACAGTCTCCAAATTTGGTCAGGCACTCGTAAAAGCTCGTGAGTTCCTAAATACGGATCTCAAGAGCTTAGAGAAAGAAGATGAGGATGAGGACGATGATGATGAGGATGAGTTTTCGACGACTTTGTCCAACTTCGTGCAAAACGCTGAAAAGGATGTCATGTGGATGCTTGAGGAAGAAAAGAGAATAATGGCTCTTGTGAAGAACACAGCAGATTATTTCCATGGACAGGCGGGGAAGGATGAGGGATTGCGATTATTTATCATTGTTCGTGATTTCCTCATAATTTTAGATAAAGTGTGCAAAGAGATTAAAGCCACACCTCTAAGGCCACCGCCTAAGACGACATTGACGAAAGATGTTTCATCATCTAAGACTACAGAGAAGAAAGATGGTTCACCATCTAGGACAATGGAGACCAACAATTATGTTTCATCACCACAGACAAACGATGTTTCAACACCTAGGACACAGGAAACTCATGAGACACCTAGGACACATTCATTGGGAGCTGAGAATTCACCACATAAGATATGGGAAACTGAGAATCCAAGACAGGAACCTAAGGGTTCGCGACATGAGACTCGAGAAGCCCAGGACTTACAACACGAGACACATAAAGCTGAGGATATGCAGCATGAGATACAGGAAACTGTAGGTTCGAGACTTGAGACACAGGAAATCGATGATTTACAGGAAACAGAATCATCATACAAGATAAAGAAAACTGATGATAGGCAACATGAAACACAGGAAATCAATTATTTACCTCATGAGATACAGGAAAGGAGATCACCAGACAAGACACAGGAAGCTGACGATTCACTACATGAGAAGCAGCAGGAAGATGAGGATTTGGAACCCAAGACACATGAAGACGATTTGCGACAAGAGACATTGGAACCTGATGATTCACAATCTAAGATGCAGGAAGATGATGTTTCACAACCAAAAACATGGGAAAGTGATAGTTTGCAACATGAGATGCGTAAAACTGATTCAACTGATGATTCAGGACCTGAGACACAGGTGACCGATGATTTAGGACCTAAGACACAGGAAACTGATAATTCAGGGACCAAGACACTGGAAGATGACGATCCTCTGCCCAAGACACATGAACAACTTCTTTCTGCCATTGCAATAAGACGGGTGGATAGTATTAGTTCTAACTCAAGTTCAGGCCATGACTAAACCGTAGTTATTGTCTGATGTACCAGGTATTTCTTTTTCACACTTACCCTTGTATCTGTTTTCATTTGTTGTTGGTTACTACTCTACACCGTTCCACCAATAAAAACAAATATTCCTGCAGTGATCATCTTTCTAGAAGACAACTCGCATTTCCAAATATACCAGTATCCAATTATCTTTCAAGAAGACCTAAATTTTAGGATTTGCATCTTGGCACCATTCTTTATGACAAGTGAATTAACAATCTCATGCATAAGTATTAGGAAAAAATGTTTTTAATTGAAGTCTTATCTTTTTGATATTGCCTTGGCATGCTCTTGATGAATTAGGTTTCTGGTTGGAACACAAAAGGAGCTGATACATTGCTTCTTTACTCGAACCATAGCCGCTATCTGATAGAAAGATGGGCTGCAAGAGAGTTCAAAAATTGTCAGCATATGACTGATGCTAAACGCGCCATTTAACATACCAAAGGAACTTGATTTTTGGTGGACCTTCATTGGCAATAAGTATAGAGTGTGTATTCTTTTGGTTAGGAAATGGAGGAGAAGCTAGTGAGCGAGTCCCTTGCCACTGTTAGAGCAAAGAACAACATAATCTTGTTGCTGTAAGTTGATGTAAATCGCAGTACAACCCCTCTTCAATCTTTTATGCATGTATATATTGTTGAGTGGATGCTGAAACTGAAAGCCTAAAAATGATCGTACCAAAAGGGTATGTACCCATAGCAATAAATTATCCATCATGTGAAATGCTACAGTTCTTTTATTCAGGGTATTGGAACTAGACAGACATTGAAGGTATCAAGGGGCAAGTTCCTAGAAATTCACGCTATATGTGATTAATATTGATCATAGATGTTTATATTCATGGTATATGTTGTAAGAAATTCAATGACGCTCTTAATGATTTCTCGGTTCTCAATGAAAATAAGGTTCCTAACCTCAAGTTATCAAAATGATAACTTGTTATAAATTATGAAGCTATTGTGAAAAAAGATTGGTAGAATACAAATTTGTTTCATTAAGGTTGTCCATAAAAATGAAAGAAATTAGTAGGAACTTGTCAAGTGTTTGTGTTTCATAATCGTGAAGTTGAATTTTTAAGGATGAGTTTGGTAATTGAATGTGCATTTTGTAAACTTGAGTTGTAAATTTTGGAGTTTAAATATATAAAACATCACAACTAAAACATTATTAGTCTTCACCAATAATTGAACAACTAATTAGCTTAACCGTACAGAGGTAATGACTGTAGTGAAATAGGGAATCACAACATAAACTTGAAACGATTATCATGGTTTTCTATAAAATGAATTTTATTTCACAAAATTCAACTTCAAAAACACAAATATGAATAAATTATACAATCCCAAAACACTTTAGTTAAGAAAGAACCCAATAATCAAATAGAGATCAAGTTCTCCGGTCTGGAAGAAAGATTTCATATTCTAGACGGTCATATTTAAAACATCAACTGGATACTTGTCATAATCTTATTCAGATATCAAACCTCATCTATATTAATTAAAAACTGAAAATTATTATTGGCATGGGGGTTGGCGTTGAATATGAACCACCACATGTAGGTCTAAAAAGCAACATTTAAATCCATAAAGATGCTTGTAATTTGTAATGACCGTCTATTTTTTATATACATGCATGTAAGAATTGACTTACTGGACCTTATATATCATATGACAATTTGAATGATGATGTGATGATGACAATTGCAATGGTACATGTTTCACCATGTCTAATTTTAATAAAATGAAAAAAGATGAGGTCATGATGACAATTTTAATTCATAATCAGTCTTGTTTTTTCTTCCCACATAATAGAATGGTTGACCATTTCTAAGTATTTATGCAAATATAAATGATATTTTTTCCAATTGAATAATTATTGAGTTTTCAAAATGTAATCTTGGACGAATAAATAAAAGATGTATTACATGAAATAATAACAAGAAATGTTTATAAGTTATAATGTTGATCGACCATAAGAAAATAGATTTAGTATTTTATAAAACTTGTCAATATTAATTGCATGTCTTACAAGTAATATTATAACGATTTTTCTTCTTAGTTGTTTGTTATCAACCCCTTTTTGAGAAGTGTAATATAAAATAATTTTTCACATCAACCCTTTTTTATGTACGCAATTGTGTTTTTATTTATTAAAGCTTTTGAATGTTAAAAAACATATTTTTCTTGTAATTGCTCTTTCTGTAAAATTCACAGAGAGAAAGCAAGAAAGATATGATGTAACATTTTGAATGTTAATAGGTAGGTACAATCATCTCAAACTTACTTCATATGCTTTTCAAGTATTAATGATTAATAGAGTATAGTTTTCTTTGACTTTTTTTTTTTTTTTTTGGGTATAAGATTTCAATATCTTTGAAAAAAAAATCATAAATAATAAAAACCCAACATCACAAATGTCAAGACAAGATGTCAAAGACTATGCTTTATTCAATGTTGACTATTTTTAATTGGGTTGACTAGCATAAGTTTAAATCCTATATGAATTTGGAGGGAGGGAATATAAAATTTGAACTAAAAATAAACAAGTTTATATCTTATTAATACAACATCCCTTATAGATTTTCTTCAACTCAATTTACAGTCATATTTTATATTTTTGTTGTGTTAATCGTAATTTTTAAAACACATGCAAAATAAATGTTTTTGTATACGAAAAGGGGTTTCATACCTTGAAAAGTAAGTAATCGAATCCAATTCCTTTTTTGCATGTTAAAGATGACCCCATCACTCTCTTCTCAACACAAGTTATATATTAGAAAATATTTATTGATTCGGTTCATATTTTTCCCAAATATGGTTTATCGATTTTATTTAAAAACACATTATATATATATGTATATAGTTTGTTCAAATAAAAAATTGACTAATTTATAATTAAAAGTCAAGCCTCTTGTTTAACTTTATCTCGATGATGTGACATTTCATTTAACTTTATTTTACTTAATTTTTTAAAGATACACTTTAAAACTATATATACATCAAAAACCTTATCCATCTTTACATTCAAATTATAAATTTAAAAATCAACATAATGTTGGTTTGTTGTCATTCTTATAGTTTAAAAATTACAATTTTTTTCTTTTGGCTTGTGATCTATTACTATTTTCATTCTCATGATTTACAATCTATTCTTCTTTCGTTCTTTATAGTTTAAATTTTTTTACTATTTTGGTCCCTTATACTTGAAATATAGAAATTAGTTTATAGACGAAAATAACAATAAATTCCAAACCATAAAGACAATATCATAATTTCTAAACCAGATGACGAAAATCAAAATCATGAACAAACTACGGGGATGAAAATTGTAATTTACACAAAGATAAAATATGTTTTGGATAAGATAATACTTGGTGAAAAAGAATCTTCATCACATTAAGATGAGATGCACTGAAGAATAATGATTAAAAGAATCAAGAGTCCATATGTTTCTCATCTTAATTGTCTGTTTCTCACCATAATTCTATCCTATGTATAATAATAATAATAATAATAATATAATTGAAAAATATAATAAATATTTGTTAGAGTTAGAAAGATGGAATTGGAACTTGAAAATGTGCAGGATAACGCGTAACGCGTTTGGTCAACCTGAGTCAACCGCTTGCCTTCTTCACGTGTAAGCTTCTTCCATTTTTGCAAAACTGCCCCCTCAATTATGTCATATATTCAAACACAACCACCATCCATCGTAATCATAATAATTACAATTACAATTACAATTATAATTATAATTATAATTACTGGACAAAAGATTTAGGCTATGTCTATATCCAATAAATTAGTTAGATTTATATAAACAAAAAATCTGATTCAAATTTCTAAATCATGATTTTAGATTTTAAAAGTTGGTCGTCTAAATTAAAATAACAAGGCTGACATCATGTTTGGAGCGTGTACGACACTCTCCAAGGACGCGTGGGTAGGAAACAGGCAAGAATGTTCTGTTTCTAGGGGTGTGGTCGGTGGAGTCCGTTAAATCACCGTCTCTTCCGTCATCTTCCCCAGCTATATAAGTTCCTCGCCCGCTTGTTTTACCGAATCTCCATCGGTTTCGTTTCTCAATCCTAAAGTTTCATACATGATACAAAAATCTTACCTTTCAGATATGGCAACTCATCAGACCTAATCTTTCGTATTCATTAAGGTACGCACACCTACTTTTTCTTCTTAAATTTCAGTCTGATCCAAGATACAACAAGGCTTTATTTTCCTTGAGAAGATTGAATTCAATGATTTAGTATACCTGTTTGTTGGAAGGCTAAAGAGAAGAAAGTTGTGGTTTTCTTTGAGTGGTTGCTACCTGTTTGTTGAAATGCTTCAGAGAAGAAGAAAGTTGTGTTTTTTATTCTTTTATTTTTCCTATTTTTGTTTTGGTCATTAAATAAAATCGAGTCAAAGAGTTGATTTTTTGAGGGTTTGGTTGAATTTAATAAAAATTAAGAGTTTTATCGTATTTGCACAATTTATTTTTAATTTCACACAAGAAATGGCTTCGTCTGTACCACAGGTGATAAACTTTGATGATATTTTTGGTATTAGGATTTCTTGTGAGGTTTTACATGCTATGAGATGGAGTTCTCGTTAGTTTTGCTCTTGCACTTGCACTTGCACTTGCACTTTCACGGGTACACTTATTTGGCGCTGTAATTTTAGTAGAGAATCTCCTGCGCTATATAATTTTATCATTTTGTTCGGCTTTATACGGATTAGTGGATGTTCTATAGCTTGTGAATTACTTAGGGAAATCGATCTTTAGATGAAAAGTTCACTTGTATTTTTCTTAACCTGGAAGAATTACTTAAATACAGTTTGCTACAAAGATCATATCAGTTTATTAAAAAATTGACAGTTTAAGAAAAAGTATATTTAACAAAGAACAGATGTATATTTGTATACGTGTGCCTGGTGATGAATAGATTTTCTTGCAGTATTTATGCCAAATAGGAAGGAAAATAGAAGAAAGAAAAAAGCTTCGGACTTTTTAGGGTCCTTGTAATGAACACTTGGTTAATGGTAAAATTGGTTTTCAAGTACTATGCTCATTTGCTGGAAACGTTTATCTTGTAATTTTAAAAGATTTATCTTGGCATACTGATAGCGTTGTTATAAACTGTTGTACTCTGCCATGAGGTTCATGTTGTTTATATTTCGGTCTATTTTGCATAGATGAAAGCTATGTACTAGTAATTTGTAGTCATGGCAGTTGCTCTGTTGTTTATATACCACCCACTCCTGGGCTTGTTACTTTATATAGATTCTAGATTGGACTCTATATAATATTCAATCTTACCCTGTTTCTGGTTTAGTGTTCTCAAGTCTATAACATTTAATCACCATTATGTATACATGAATCAGGAAGTTTTGCTTATAAACATTCCAATGATGTCATTGCAGGCTTAATTATTTGTTAAATCCTGAAGTCGGACGGACACATTAGGAGAGCCATAGAGCCTGCAGTTCTTCTCTTCACCAAAAAGTAACCTTGAGAACAAGCAGATCATATGCAGCATCTGATGCTTACCATATAGCATGGGCTCAGAACAATCTTTTGGCTATAGAGTGACTGGTGAAGGTTCATCTTACTCCTCTTCTCACCCACATATCCCCTTGAGGCTGTTTGAATCCTTAAAGTTTGAGGCAAGGGACTCCCCCAACTCTCCTTTCTTAACCCACTTCGATTCAGAGATATTCACTACATTGAGCGACAGTCAAGAGAAGTACAGCTCTACCTCCGGTGCTAGTCCTTCCCTTGAAGATAGCAGCTCTTTTAACCAGTCAGGTTCTTCTGCTTTTGTACAAAGCTTAAGTGGCAGTGTTCATTACATGAAAAATGCTCTTCAGGATATAGAGACTACTCTAATGGCACCAGATGAGGAAGTATCCATGCCCAAAAACCCTCCCTCAGGACAAAACAGGTGGCAGCAAGCATCAAGCCAAGGCCCTAGACAGTGGACCCCTGAACCTACTAGTTCAAACATGGTTCAACCCCAGGCTGTATATAGTCCGAGATATGGTCCATCTGGTGATGGACTTCATGCAGAGAAGCGTCACAAGTCAATGGAAGAGGCAGGATTACAGGCTGTCCAATTTCCACCGGGTAATAATAGTAATAATCTAAAGCAGTTGCTCATCGCATGTGCCAGTGCTCTTTCTAGGAACAAGATTGATGAGTTTGAGGAATTGGTTGAACGTGCACGGGGTTATGTGTCTATCAGTGGGGACCCGATCCAGAGGCTAGGCGCTTATATGGTGGAGGGGTTGGTGGCGAGGAGGGAGTTATCTGGGAATAACATATATCAAGCCCTCAGGTGTAGGGAGCCTGAAGGGAAGGATTTGCTTTCTTACATGCATATCTTATACGAAATATGCCCGTACTTGAAGTTTGGGTACATGGCTGCAAATGGTGCTGTAGCAGAGGCTTGTGGAAAGGAAGAGCGAATCCACATCATAGACTTCCAAATAGCTCAAGGGACGCAGTGGATAACTCTTTTACAAGCACTTGCAGCGAGGCCTGGAGGTGCACCTCATGTTCGTATCACAGGAATTGATGATCCTGTCTCCAAATACGCTCGTGGAGACAGTTTGGAGTTGGTGGGAAAACGTTTGGAGGCAGTATCACAGAAATTCAACATCCCAGTGGAGTTTCAGCCACTTGCAGTGTATGCACCATATGTGACAAAAGAGATGCTTGATGTGAGAGATGGTGAGGCACTGGCAGTGAACTTCCCTCTTCAGCTCCACCACATGGCGGATGAGAGTGTTGATGTGAATAACCCAAGAGACGAGCGTTTGAGAATGGTGAAATCGCTTTCACCCAAAGTGGTTACTTTGGTGGAGCAAGAATCAAACACAAATACTGCAGCTTTCTTTCCAAGGTTTGTGGAAGCATTGGATTATTACTCTGCGATGTTTGAGTCGATGGATGGAAGTTTGGGTAGGGATAGGAAAGAAAGGATAAACGTGGAACAACACTGTCTGGCTCGAGACATTGTAAACATCATAGCATGTGAAGGTAAGGAAAGAGTAGAACGTCATGAACTGTTGGGGAAATGGAAGTCGAGGTTGACGATGGCAGGTTTTAGACAATATCCGTTGAGTTCATATGTGAATTCGGTGATAAGGAATTTGCTCAAGTGTTACTCGGATCATTATACATTGGTGGAGAAGGATGGAGGAGGGATGTTATTGGGATGGAAACATAGAAATCTTATATCTGCATCTGCTTGGCATTGATCGCACGACAGATCCCTGAACTAGTTATATCACTTATCTTTATATATATATATATATATATATATATATATATATATATATATATATATTCAGCTGTTGCTTTTGTTTAAACATTTATTTTGTTATTTTTTCTTTTAAAAAAATATTAAATTAAATCTGTAGCTGGATATTTGAGTCCATAGATCATGCAACTGGATATTTTGTTATTTGTTACTTTGAATATCGTGTTTTTCTCCACTCTTAATTCTTTTATTCATCATCAATCAATTAATACATAAATAGATCGATTCAACTACTTCCTTTAATTTGCATCATAGCCTCGGAGGTAATTAACATCCCTCTGACTCTTGAGTTTGATCTTATCCTCATATGCCACACGGATATTAATTAATTGTCCATCCTATTCCTACATGATAATTACAGTTTTCTTGATGAATACTTTGATTTCAAACCATAATCGTATTCTAATTTTGTTTACGGGGAGTCAACTGCGTCTCGCATAAAAAACCAAAAAGAACTGGGTGGAGCCCTTCCAACTCTGCCTCTGATTAAATATGTTTTCCCAAAAAACACTGGTTCAAGTTAATACTTATTCTGCAGGTGCTGGGATATTTGGTCATCTTTCCGATTCCAAAGCACCATTAGTCACCGGGTTATCTCCTAGAATCTCGGCTATGAGTTGGTTGATTGCATTTCCTCTGGCCTAAAGAAAGCAAACAGACCATCATTCTTGGAAAAAAACCAAGTACCCATATTCAACAATGAAGCGTTTCAAAGAAAAAGGGTATTTTCAATATCATTCGCTTCAAACTATTAAAAATGTGGAGAGAGAAATTTAAGTTGTGTACCTTGACTCCAATTGCCATAGCCGTCTTGAGATTCACCATTTCACCTAATTTGAAAGATCCTCCTTTCTTATCTTTCACAAAGATGACAGGTACTTCCCTAGAAGAGGCCAGGCTCGGCAGGTGCTTTGTAAGCCATCGAGGGTTGCAGTCTGTTGCTAAAAGTATGGCCTGTCAGTGTACAAATATTTATATCTGAGCAAGACAACATCACTGGCAAGAAAAAGAACTATGATAATCAAATGCGTAACCTGCAGTTGGAGGGGAAAGGCTTTAGCATTACGACTAGTAGCATTTTGTGAAGATCCACTAACCGGTGGCATCCGTTCAAGCACACGGGTCACATCATTGACGCCAATAGAAAATTGTTGCTGATAAAAGAACATCATCAGTCAAAATTTTCTTTTAAGTATAATATATTTATATACGGCAAATAAAACAAATAACTCACTCACCCTCCTCACCTTTGGTGAGGTTTGAACCCTTGACCTCCTAGAAGGCCAAAGACTCACATACCGCTAGGCCAAAGGCCCTTTGGTTCATCAGGCAAAGTTGAAACAACTTATAGATAAATAAATATAAGTATATAAGAAAGGAAAAAATAAAACCTTGAGCCAAATTTTTTGAGGTAGAGACTCATCTGAAAGTCTGGCTAATTTGATTTCTCTAAACCAAAGCTTGAACATGTCAGTGTGTGGGCTATGTATGTAGTAAATTCATTCTACTGCAATGTATTAATTACCTCTGAATCGAGTTGATAAGATGAAGGAGACTTTCACCTTCATACGAACTAAATGAATACGCAGTAAATAAAATCACAGTTAGTAAAGTAAGCATACATTTACCATCAAACAATGCACTCAAAAGGATCCTTGGCTGGCTAATAATCTAGCAAAGTTGAATGTGTTCAAAATCGATCCAAGTAATATAAATATGGAAGAAACAAAAACTTACTTTGGCTGTTGAGAAATATGGTCAGTAGAGACTTTCTGAGGCAATAATAGTGAACCTTTTTTCATCCGCATCTTGCATTAAACAACATCAAAAGCTCCTTCAACACAACACACAAGGGTGAAGCAGCAATACTGTTTGTATAGTAGTTGCAGTAAACAATTAACCCAAGACATACCAGCAATTTACCTAGATCTACGTACGTCATTGCTAAGACTCCTACTATGAATTTCTAGAGATTCCGTTGAACATGAAAGATACCGTACACTGAACTGCCAAAAAACCGTTTCTTTGACAAGATTTGAGCAGCAATTCTAGCAGACGATAGAACTTTTAATTTTTTATATGTATTCTATACTGATAAGCTGTGGGACATAAAGAGACTCCGTATGATTTAATGTACAATGAAAAATGACCATTTGATAATGTTCTAATTAATGACATATATTAAGCACGTGATGGTTAAAAACAACAACATAAATCAATAGCCTTGAATAAAAACAACAACATAAATCAACAGCCTTGACTCAAAACAGCCTAAACACATTTTCAGGGTGCAAATGAGCAAAAAAGCTTGCCTTTATAATGAATTAATGATTATAAAAAACAAAGCATGCACATCAGTGGCCAAATACAAACACTCATTACATGAATTTCCCACATTATATTTTATATGGTTTTCTCTACTTATCCATGACTGTTAAAAGTACAAACCAAAACCAAAACCAAAACCAACACTAAACTGTTGGAATCCTATACATAATGTCCTTGATCATTTGTATGTTTATTTACACATATATAGTTTTTATTAATATTATTTCATTATTGCATTTTGGTCCCTATAATTTCTGGAGGGACTTGAGTGCAAATATAGGGGAGTTAATTTGATGGAGAGTTGCACCCCTTGGATTACATATATATAGTGGTGGTTATCCCTTTTTGTTTTCTCACGTTGCTTTTTCCCTCAAGGCTCTCAATGGAATTCTCTGATCATTAGAGGGAACAAAATATATGAACAATCAATCCATCAATTAAGCAACGAAGAGAAACAATCAAAGGAAACCAAAATTAGTTCTTCATGGCTTCTTCAAGTGGAATAAGACACACTCCACCAAGTAAGTTTTACTTAATTTGTTGTATTTATGAATTCACATGTTTGATTAGGGATTCTTATGCATATGATTGGGATTAAGTTAACATGTGGTATCAAAGCGATCAGTATCAAAGCGATCAGTGGCGGACGCAGAAAAATATATTGTAGGGGGCACAAAATTAACCAACAAAATTAACCTAAAATACTTAACCTAAAGCATTTACCAATTACCAATTTACCACAAAATTAACCTAAAATCATTTACCAATTATCAATTACCACAAATCCACAAGATAAAAATTAACCTAAAATACTAGACTACATTGAAATTGGAAATTATATTTTAGTTGTTTACCCAAGAGATGAATGAAGAGATGTCTAGAAGAAGAGCCTCTGGGCTCTGCGCCTCTGCCGACTGCTTAGGGCCCAAGAAGTAGAACTGTAGAAGGAAAGTCAACTACTCAACTCTGTCTCTCAAGTCCAGGATGCTTGCACTGTTGCACACAGCCACACAGTCGGACCGGTGAGAGGCGGTGCAGGCGGCGGCACAGCGCACAGCGGCACGGCACAGCGCACAGGCAGACCGGCAGCCTCGCAGTCGCAGATTCGAAGTCGCTAGACGCTAGCCCTAGCCGGTATCAGGTATTCAGGTATGTCTTCACTCTTCTTCACTCCCTTCGGCCTTCATTCACAATCACAGATTCACAACTCGTTTCTTGGTCTTGGGCTCTTGGCTGCACTAAAGAGGAGGGCCTCCAACCTCATCTTGTTGGGGCTACACCAAATCTCAAAATACAGTAAAAAAAAAAATTTGGGCTTTCATATAAGATTTTTGGGCCCCCAACCCCTTCTTATTGCGTCCGCCCCTGAAAGCGATGTTCTTGATATGTGCATGATTTACCTTAATTATGATGAACCCTAACTTCTTAAACGAATCTACAATGATGAGTATTTTTTTTTAAATAATATATGATTTCGTTACATGACTTCCAATTCTATTTCTATATTTAATTAATAAATCTGGAAGTCTATCGATACTTGATGAATTTGGTGAGTTTTGATATTTGAAAAACACACAGCACTAACCGAATGAGAAGGAGAAAAAGTGAATTGCAAATTTGGATTCTATAAGTTTTAGTTTTGTAATTCTATGCCTCTGTGATTTCCAAATTTGAATTATATGCCTCATTCTGAATTTGAATTATGTGCCCTTATGAGATATGAATATTTGTATTATGATCTCTGCAAATCCTTTTGACATCACTTTGGGCACTTTACATCCAACAATCATGACAATGCATAACAATGGTGATATATGTATTATAACTTATACTTAAAATTGTTATGCTAATCAAGATTAAATTTATTTTGGATAGTGAAACCAACGAGAACCTATCCGGAATAAGTGAAATAAATATATAATACATTGTTTAGATTGAAATTTAGGAGACCCAACGGAAACCTCTTTGATGATTTAAATGATGGAATTTTAGCATGATTTGCCTATCTATTACATTGTTTACCCAACGGTACTATGTGAAAGATATGTATGCGTAGTTTTTTATGAGATATTACACTAAATTATTGATTGATCCAACGAGAGATCAGTAATCTAGTATAATGTTAATATCGCCTATGCTTTGTATGTTTTAAATAGGCTTACTTTTATTTTACTGATATGCTTAATACCTTGTATTCTGAATTTTAAATTATAGTATCATCTTATAAATGTGGGCATGCATTTAATTATACTATTATGGCAGCATCTACTTTAACTACAAATTCCGGATATTTATCCGGAATTGAACCCCTAACTGGTACAAACTTCAACACTTGGAGAGATCAAGTCAAATTGACTCTTGGAGTTATGGATTTGGATCATGCTTTGAGACTAGAACGACCCACTGCCCTTATCGACAAAAGTTCGCCGGATGAAAAAAGGGCATATGAATTATGGGATTGATCAAACAGAATGTCTCTTATGATCATTAAAAATTCCATTTATGGCGCCATCCGAGGAGCCATCCCTGACTCCAAAGATGCCAAAACATACCTTAACTCTGTAGAGGATCAATTTAAAGGGACTTCAAAGGCCCATGCTAGTACCTTGATCCTTAAAATGTTGACTACGAAGTACAATGGGGTCGGTGGTGTGCGTGAGCACATAATGATGATGAGTGACATGGCAAACAAACTCAAAAGTATGGACATGGAAATTAGTGAAGGCTTTCTCGTCCACTTCATAATGACATCTCTCCCTTCTCAGTTTGGTCCGTTTAAGATCAATTACAACACTCAAAGGGAGAAATGGAAGATGAGCGAACTAATTGCCATGTGTGTCCAAGAAGAAGAACGACTAAAAGTTGAAAAACCCGATATCGCTCATCTTACTACCACCGACTCTAAGAAAAGGAAGGGGTTCCCGAAGGGCAAAGGAAAGATTGGAGATAAATTCACTCCGAACAAGGTCCCTAACACCGGTGCAAGTACAAGTACATTCCACGGAATTCTCAAATGTAAATTCTATCGTAACAAGGGACATACTCAAAGGGATTGTCCAAAGTTTAAGGAATGGCTTGCGAAGAAAGGTAACACCTCTAATTTCATGATTTGTGAATCACTTAATGTTTATGTACCTTCTAATACATGGTGGATTGATTCCGGATCCATGGTACACATTTCAAATTCTTTACAGGGATTCCGTATAATAAGGAAGCTGGAAAGAAACCAACGGACGGTTAAAGTCGGAAATGGTTTGGATTTGGGAGTTGAAGCAGTCGGTACACTTTCATTAGTACTAGAAGGTGGTTCGAATTAGAACTGTGTGAAACTCTATATGTACCAAGTATTACTAGAAACCTTATATCTGTTTCTAAATTAAATGACTATGGATACTATTTTACATTTGGTGATAATAAATGTATAATAAGATTGTATTCGGATGTTGTTGGTTATGGTTGTCTAGAGGGAAACCTTTATAAATTATGTTTGGATAACCAATTTTCGGCGATAATGTAAGGAAGAATAAGAGAAAACGAGATTTAGAAACTTCATCAATGTTGTGGCATAAACGTTTGGGCCATATATCACGAGAGAAAATGACAAGACTTGTGAAAGATGAAGTTTTACCAAATCTTGATTTCACAGATTTTGAAAAGTGTATTGAATGCATTAAGGGAAAAACAACCAAAGGGAATAAGAAAGGATCTACTAGAAGTATGGAATTGCTTGAGCTAGTCCATACTGATATTTGTGGTCCTTTCCCGGCGGGAATTGGAGGTCAAAAATCGTTTATAACTTTTATTGACGATTATTCGCGTTATATGTACTTATTTTTTATCCATGAAAAATCTGATGCATTAGAGATGTTCAAGACCTTTAAGGTCGAAGTTGAAAATCAACTTGACCGGAAGATAAAGGTTGTAAGATCGGATAGAGGAGGTGAATTGTAACACCCTAAAATTTATGATTCGTAAAATAAATAAATGTTAAGGGTTAAAATTTAAAGAGTAAACCACATACGGGATTAAAGTGTCGATACTCGAAAAATATGATTTTATTGCAATAAATAAAATCATTAAAAAAAAGAGAGAAATGAAACATGTTGTATTTAATTGATTTGGGATGAAAGTGCAGTAAGAAAAACAAAAGGGACTAGTTCTGCCAAAAGTAGAAAACTAACTTGGAAATGATTGAAATTTGGAAAATCATTCCCCAAATCACGTTTTTCCTATTCTAGAGACCGTTTGACACACTATAAATAGGAGTTTTCGGCTGAAATTTTGTGGAGACGTTCCTAAGGGTGTAAGGGAGTAAATGTTTCTGGAATTTCGAGATTTCATCAAGAAACGAGAGAGATATCRAGTTTGAAGCGGCATAGGGTCATTCCGCACAAAAACGGCGATTGGAGGTAAAATACTCAACCAAAATTGATGTATAATATATGGTTGGTTTCGTTTTTCAATTATCTTTCT